AAGGAAGTGTCCAGAAGAGGGTTCTAGGTAGTTTGGAGAGACCAGGGACATCAGCTACTTATCAACCCATTCCAACATTTAAGCAAGTGTTATGACTACACTGGTAAGAATAGTGGTGCTGAATATTAATCCTGTTCCAAGTGTTTTCTATCCACCTATTAGAGGAATCGGAGGCTGGAAACAAGTAAAAGCAAGTCTTGCTTTTTAACTTAATTTTCATAGTCTTTCCTTTACAAGTTAGTGCATGTGGTTCTATGAAGATTTTGCCTAACAGGTCACCACGTTGGTGTACTGCTGCTGTGGTCTCCCTGGGGTCAGCAGTTATCCTGCACTTTCTTTTCTTTTCCTCAACTTTATCAAGATATAATTGATATAAAATATCCTGCACTTTCTATTTCTCTGTATCTTTAAGTTTTCTTACCTGCTCCAAGGCCTCTTCTCTCTATTATATAACCCCTCTAATTTTGCAGCAAAGGAACAAGAACTGATTATATATCAAGATAACAGATAAATGCCCCTACGCAATCTTCCATCTTAATTAGTTGTGTTTTCCAACCCCTCATTATACTAGCCCCTGACATTTTTATTGTCTTTTACTTGATTTTCAGGTTTCTCTGGAAACTGAGGCTCCTGAAAATAGTATTGGTGTTATTACTCTGCCTTCATCGCTGATGAGTAATTTACCCGCTAATGATGTAGAGCTAGCTTCCAGGGTTCAGTTCAACTTTTTTGAAACACCTACCCTGTTTCAGGTAAAGTTGCCACTAATTGCTTTTGGTTTAAGTTTTATTTGGGAGTGGAGGAGTTTTATTTATTTTAATCCTCACATATTCTTAAGCCTGCTATAAGTCAAATGAATTGTGGAAAAGGTGCAGTTTATTTTTAAACAGGACCTAATGATGCTGGTGATGATATATAACAATAACTGACACATTTACCAATTGCCAAGTGCTATCCTAAGCACTTAGAAATGTTAACTTTTCCTCTCAACAACTCTGTGAGGAAGGGACTATTAAACTATTATCCTCATTTTACAGATGAGGACATGGAGGCACAGAGAGGTTAAGTAACTTGCTCAAGGACACACGGCTTAAATGGCTTAATGTGATGTTCCTTTTAAGATTCATGAAGGTCCTGTTGTATCAATCCAAGAAATTTAACTTGGTATTTAGAGCACTGGATAGTGGAACAAGTGCAGCTTCTAATTATCATCCTTGGGAAAGTCACTTTACTCCCTGACTCCCAATTTCTGACACCTAGGTTGTAAAATAAACAATGTGGACTAAACAGTCCTTAGGGTCCCTCCCAGCTCGAAAACTCTCTGATAACATTTCATTTTCCCTTGCTATCTTATTGATTCTCTGGTGTGCTAGGACCCTGCCTTGGAGAACCTCTCTCTAATCAGCTACGTCATATCGTCGAGTGTTGCGAACCTGACTGTCAAGAACTTGACAAGAAACGTGACAGTTACATTAAAGCATATCGACCAGAGCCAGGTGGGAGAGGCCTGTTTGGTCTGTTCACTGACCAGAAACACCTTGTGCAAACTATGCCTATAAGACTTGGTCTGAAAAACGGAGATCCAGCAGAACTTTAAACTTGGTTAGGGCAGTGTGTAAGACTAGAATCACATAGTCATTCCATTGGGTTTTAGCATGTCTAATAACTGACCACCTAATTTCTAAGAAGGAACAGCACAAAATCAAGCTCTTATCAACTGCCAAATTTCAGTGCATTTAGATCTGTGGCTGCAAGTCTGATTCTTCCCTCCAAGGAGAAATTATCCCTCAGTTCACAGAAATTATCCTTCAATTCACATTGAGCATCACCTATGATCTTGCTACTCAAAGTGGGGTCTGCAGACTTTTAGGCCCCACCCCAGACCCAGAATCAGAATGTGTATTTTAATAAGGCCTCAAGGCGAATCCTATGCATAATTGCTGAGTTGAAGACACGCTGACCAAAAAAAAAAAGACATGCTGACCTATATGAGACTCACTTGCTTCTAGAGACCAGGATGAGATTCTGAAACAAAAAATATCAGTTTTTTTCCAATTGCTTTTCAGTTTTTTCAGTTCAGTAATTATTTGTAATGTCTTTCTACTGCAGGATGACTTAACAGTGAGATGTGTATTTTGGGACTTGAGCAGAAACGGTAGGTTCCAGTCACACCTTTTTCAAAGTCTTGAGTGGGTAGGAAGGCGGAGAGTGAAGAGGAAGGGCAGTCATTGGTGCTGTGGCCTTGCTGATAGGACAGATACTCTTCCTAATACCAACAGGTGGCAGAGGAGGCTGGTCATCCGATGGCTGCTCCGTCAAAGACAGGAGGCAGAATGAAACCATCTGTACCTGCAGCCACCTTACAAGCTTTGGTGTCCTACTGGTAATATCCCCACACTACCTGTCCTTAGATTATGGGTCTGAGGGGTAGTTTGGCATGATACCATGATATCTGATGGGTGACTTTGATAGATCAGCAGATATGACATTGTAGCAAAGTTATAAACCAATGACATTACTCTTCTAACAACCAAATGCACTTGAAGGATAATACTTGAACATGGAAGTATTTCTTCCTATTCTATTTTTACATTTAATTTTTTCTCATTTAAGTAGGTAGGAGGACAGGGGAATTCAGATTAAAATGGGTAATAAAAATTGTTTAGTTTGCAATGTGTTTTAAATTTTTTTATAACACGTTGACATAATTATTTAATCACCCCAATAGTCCTACAAAATAAGTAGAATGGAGCATTGTTGTTGTCATTTTAATGAAGTCATAATTAAGGTTCATTTGTTAGGTAACCTTCCATAGTCACAAAACTAAGAAATATGTGAGCCAGAAGCCAAATTCAAGACTTTAGGCTCCCAGCCCAGTTCTTCTCCAGTGCACCATAATACACTGATAAAGTATGTGGGCTTTAGAGTCAGCCAGATCTGAATTTGGATCCTGGTTCCTCTACTTTGTAGCTCTGTGACCTTGACCAAATTATTTAACTTCTCTGGGCCTCAGTTTCATTATTTTTACTTGATGGTAATAATTGTGCCCACCTTGTAGGTTTGTCGAACAAACTATGGATGGGCACTTAGAACATTCAATCAATGTAAAGCATGTCTCTTTTATTTATTTAAAAATATTTGGTCTTGAAAACAATATTTTATTTTCTAGGACCTATCTCGAACATCCTTGCCACCGGCTCAGATGATGGCGCTGACGTTTATCACATATATTGGCTGTGGGCTTTCGTCAATTTTTCTGTCAGTTACTCTCATAACCTACATAGCCTTTGAGTGAGTATCCACAACTGGAAACTTGGATTTTAAAATGCAGTGCTCAACTCCATTGCCAAAATGTATTAATTGAGCTCCTCGACCTACCTTATCCTGTACACCCATTTAGTGGGGCCACCTATATGTAAAACTTCATGGGACTTTTTGGTTTATATAGTTGCTTCCTTCCACTAGTCTGTCCACTCACTGAAGGCAGGGGTTGTGTCTTAATCATCTTTGTGCCCTAAAATAATGCCTGGTACTTAGTTGACATTAAATGTGAAATGAAAGATGGATGAAGACCCAAAATCCCAACATCTTACAATCTGAAATAGACCATAGCTCCATGTACAGCATGAGAACTATGTTTAATATATTATATTTCTAAATTATACCAAGCAAACACAAAAGATTAAATATATTAACACATGTAGGTTGAAGAAGAAAAAAGGGTGTAGAGCTTTACTGAAAAATACAGATACTCAGTACAGCTTTGTAGGTCAAAGCAAGAATGACATTCTAAATAATAGCATCTCCTCCTTGGCTCACCAGAAAGGTCCCTTTGGTCACTTTTTTTGGGGGAATTCCAACAAATTCTGTTGGAAAAGAAGGAAATAGACACTTTTATTACATTAACCAAATGAAACAATATATACGTTCTGAGATGTAGATTTTGGACACTGATCAGGAAATGCACAAATTTACTTTGAGTGCCAAACTTAGGGTCCAGCTGTGACTACAGATCTTCTAGTGGATCTTTGAAAATATTATTAATGAGACTAAATTACCATAAGGCCAGCCATTACTCAGAATGACTTCACCAGATCTAATTTCATACACATAAACATGTACATGTCATCAATTAGCTGTATTTTCCTATTCCTGTTCCATTAGCTATAGTTTAAACTCTTCTTTCCATGATCTCATTTTAACTTAATAACATAATAGGGGAATCTGGCTATATTTTGAAGATCTGAATATAGGAGCCTATTGTATAAGCAGCAGCAGCAATGATTCTAAAAGTCATCTGGGAGAAATAGGGGGTTGGTGTTCCATAGATTCCACTACAAACTATTTAAAAGGATGGGTCCACATAAATACAAACATGAATTTTCCGTATGGTAACCACAGATGATTCTGTTTAGATTTTTCCTTTGTTGCTGTTATTGTTGTTGGTTTTAATGCCTACACACACACACTCAAAGAGAGGAAATTCACACATATGCAGTAGCCCCCCTTATCCACGGTTTTGCTCTCCATGGTTTCAGTTACCCATGGTCAACTACTGTCCAAATGGAAAATTCCAGAAATAAAGAATTCATAAGTTTTAAATTGTACACTGTTCTGAGTGAGTAGCATGATGAAATCTACACCATCCTGCTCCATCCTTCCCATGGTGTAAATCATCCCTTTGTCCAACGTATCCATGGGTACATACTACCCACCCATTAGTCACTAGTAGCCGTCTTAGTTATCACAGTGCTTGTTTTCAAGTAACCCTTATTTTACTTAATAATGGCCCTAAAGCACAAGAGTAATAATGCTGGCAATTCAGATCTGTCAAAGAGAAGCTGTGAAGGGCTTCCTTTAAGTGAAAAGGCTAAAGTTCTTGACTTAACAAGGCAAGAAAAAATTGTATGTTGAGGTTGCTAAGATCTACGGTAAAAATGAATCTTCTATCCATGAAATTATGAAAAAGAAAAAAGAAATTTGTGCTAGTTTTGCTGTCACACCTCAAACTGCAAAAAGTTACTACAACAAGTACGTGATATGTGCTCAATTAAAATAGAAAAAGCATTAAATTTGTGGGTGGAACACATGAACAGAAAACATCTTCTGACTGATGGTAACATGTTGCACCAGAAAGCATTGAGCCTATTATATGAGGACTTCAGCAAGAGATCCCCTTAAACAAGTGACACCAAGCCAAGCAAGCAAGGGACGATTACATAGATTCAAGAATAGGTTTAGAGTGAAGAATATAAAAATTACTTGAGAGATAACGCATTCACATTATTTTATTAGTAGTTACTGATGTTAATCTCTTACTGGGCTTAATTTATAATTTAAACTTTAT